TATATGATCATGTACTACAGAATTGAAACTGACCCATAGTTAACCCTCCATTGTGTTTTCAGAGGCACTTAATTGCCTGGGGAGAGATTGCTCATTCTTCTCCCAGAAAGCAGCAGGTGAATTCAAACTGCATGCCTTTAGGATTGTAGCGCAGTTCTTTGCCTCTATACCATGTTGTTGCTGTTGTTATGTGCCGTCGAGTCGCCTGTGACTCATAGCGACCCTGTGTACAACAGCCCTAAACTCCGCTCTGTCCTGTGTCAATTGCACCGTCTCTGACACTCCCATCCCCATTACCCCAGTCACTGAATCAGTCCACCTCATAGAGGGCCTTCCTCTCCTGCGCTGTCCCTCCACCCTCCCAAGCATGATGTCCTTCTCCAAGGACCGGTCTCTCCTCATATGCATATCAAATCCCCACAAATCCACAAGTAAGCTACCGGAAGTTGGTAGATAGAAGGATTGAAAAAAATAGCAGGATCTTATATCAATGTAAAAAGAAAAATCAATTGAATTCCTCTATACCAACAAAGCGAACTTAGAAAAGTAAATCAGGAAAATAATACCATTTAAAATAGTCTCCCAAACAAAAATTATTTAATAATAAGTCTATCTAGAGACATAAACACCCATATAAAGAAAACAGAAAAAAATTAAGAAGCAAAACAATATCTACATAAATGGAAAAACCATGCTCATGGATAGGAAAACTTAATATTGTGAAAACGTCAATATTATCAAAAGCAATCTAGAGATACAGTGCTATCGCAATCTAGAGATACAGTGCTATCTCAATCCAAAGCCCAATAGCATTCTTTAACAAGATGTAGAAACTAATAACCAACTTTATGTGAAAAAGAAGGGTAAGTAAAGCACTGCAGAAGAAGGAAAAAGAGGGCAGAGAAACTCAGACTGGTCTAAGGATCTACAATAAAATGAGAAATAGTAAGAGGATGAAAGAGAGGGAGACAGATTAAAAAAAGAGAGAGTTTGAACCAGAGAGACAAAGAGAGAGGACTAAACAGTAAAGCAATTATTTTCATGCAAAGATGATACTAGAAATAATGAGAATATTAGCCTGTTGTGGGAAATGTAACCAACCAGCATCACTGAACCACCTATACAGAAATTGTTGAGTGAAACTGAAATTTCTAGATAAACAAGCACTTAAAACCCTCTTAATTACTATGAGTCGTGAAAGAGTAAGGGTTCAGCCAGCAGAAGAATAGATGCATTTGAGCTGTGGTGTTGGAGAAAGCTGCCGAATATTCCATGAGTTATTCAAAGAATAAATGGATATTTGTTGGAAAACGTGTAACCCGAATGTTTCTTGGATACAAAGATGGAGAAGCTTCATCCCATATACTTTAGGCATACTGTTAGAAGATATTCCGTGGAAAGGGCCATCGTACTTGGCAAGGTGGAAGGCCAGTGAAGAGGAAGAAGATCCTCAATGAGATTAATTGATATGGTGTCTGCAGCAATGGACTCAAATGGTTCATGGATGATAAGGATGGAGGACAACATTCAGATCTATTATTAAGAGAGTGGCTTTCACTTGTACCCAACTCTAAGCCACTTAACAAACAACATACCATATGGTAGTAGGAGTACCTATTCGTGGTGGTGGTGAGCACTGATCCTCGTGTAATAAATAGTCTAATAGTGAGGGTAGACAAGCACTAGTAAAATGAATATTTGCATAATGTAACAGATATATAAAAACCAAGCAGGACTTTGTGATATGGAAAAGTAATATCACCTATTTATTTTGGGCTTTATTTTACTTGGATCCACAATGAACACCCATGGAAACAAGAGTCAACAAATGAAATGATCTGTTGCAATGAGAAAATCTGATCTGTCACCTGTGACCTCTTTAAAGGGTCTTACTTTAAAGATTGATGTTTACTTAAGCAAAGCAATGGCAGTTTCAACTGTCATATGTATACGTAAAAGGTGGACAATGACTAAAGAAGAATTTTGACGTTGAATGGTAGTGTTGGTACAGAATACTGAATACACTCTGGACCCTCAATAGTACAAACAAACCTGTCTTGGAAAAAGTGTAGCCAACGTGTTCCTTAGACGCAAAGATGGTGGAATTTTGCTTTACATGCTTTGGCCTTGTGATGAGGAGAGTCCAGTCCTGGACAAAGCCATCAAGTTTGGTAAAGCGGAGGGTCAGTGCACAAGAGGAAAGTCCTCAATGAGAGGGATTCACATGATGCCTGCAACGCTGGAGACTGAGAGGTTGGGAGAGGACAAAGATATTTTTCCTTCTTGTTATTTATAGGGTTGATGCAGTGAGAACATGATCCCTGGAACCTAATTACACTTGAAGAATTAAAGAGATGTGCAATTCAGTAAAATACCAGAGAAAACCATGTCAGATGTGTATTCATCCGATAGGGGTCTCTGGTGCGTGGCTGAGGCTCATTCAGTTTTGTTGCTGTGTACCGTTGGGTCAGAACAGGCCCATAGCTGAACCTCTGGTGGGTTTTCAGAGGCAGTTAATCACATGGGAGGAGATTGCCCATCCTTCTTCTGCATTCAGTACTGAGGACCTCTGGTGGCCTAGTGGCAAGAAGCTGTGCTACAATCCATAAGATAATAAAGAAATTGATGTGATTCTTTTCCCCTTACTCAATTAGTATAAATTATAAAGAGATAATATAGACTTCAAAAAACATAATGCACTTACAGTTCATAGAACATAAGGGTGTCTACTATTAAATTTTTTTAAATTTTATATTATTTTTTGTGTGTACTGTCAAATTGAATCTGACTGGTACAGGAGGATACAGCGCCTCCTTCTCCAGCAGAGCATCTGGTGGATTTGAACCGCTTACCTCTGGGATTGCAGTACAGCTTCTTGCCAGTAGGCCACCAGAGCTCTGCTGTTCAATTTTTTTTAATAAAATGTTTATTTTATACTGATTTACTTACAAAGTTAATATACGCTGTTTTACACATTGGATCTTTCTCATCTCCTTTACCCACCCCTCCCTTCACCCATCAGACTCTAGAATCTTATGATTAACCCCACTCTCGACCCCACTCTACCCGTATCCCTCCTCACCACTTTTCTCTTCCCCTTTCATCTTAGATCCTCATATATGTTCTACAATAATATGGTCTTAAACAGTATTTGTCCTTATGAGGCTGAGTTAGTTCACTTAGCATAATGCTCTCCAGAGACTCCCAAGTTAGGTAGTAATTTACAAAATCATTACTCCTGCATGCTGTGTAGTATTCCATCATGTGATGGCACCATAATTTCTCAATCATTTGATTGTGGTTGGATATTTGGGCTGTTTCCATGTTTTTGTGATGGTGAATAATGCTGCTATGAGCATTAATATACAAATCTCAGGTAGTGTCTCAGTTCTCATTTTCTCAGGGTATATTCCAACCAATGGAATGGAATAGCCGGGTCATATGGAATTTCTATGTTCAGCTTTTTGAGAAAACACCAAACTGCCTTCCAGAGTGGTTGTACCATTTTACAATCCCATCAACAATGTATAAGAGTTCCTATCGTCTCCAACTTTTCTTACTTACTGTCCTGTTAAACTTTGCTACTGCTACTGGAGTGAGATAATATCTCATTGTGGTTTTGATTTAGCTCTTTCTTATTGCCAGTGATTCTGTACTGCTCAATTTTTTATTTAATAGGTAATCATATTTTTTTAAACTTTTACTGGAACTAAATCAAGCTTAGTAAGCTATAGTAAAAACACTGAATGGTACAGTTGATATTATGGTTAAGCGTTCAGCTTCTAATCAAAAGGTAGGTGGTTGGAACCCATCCAGTGACGTCAAGGCAGACAGCATGATGATCTGCTGATACAACAGAAATCCAATGTGGAAATCCCTCTGTGTCTGTAAAACCAAAACCCAATCAAACCCACTGTTGTCATGCCAATTTCAACCCATGGCAACCCTCCACTGGGATTCCTCAAAACTGAAATTGATAATAGGAGGAGCCATCTTTATCTTTCTGTCATGGATGATGGAAGAGCTGTATGTTCTAATCCCCTGGAGGGCACAAGACAGCCAACTGCCACATCTTCCCCCCTCACTGCGGGATTCAAACTGCTAGCCTTTCCGTTACCAGCCTACTGTCAGAGTTCTTATCTCATTTTTTTTTTTAATAAGATATTTGTGATTAAGGTTTTGGACGAAGGGGTTTTGCCTCTTTGTGAGGCGTAAAATAAACAGTGACATTTTACAGTTTCTTAGGAGAGGAAATAATATATTAGTATGAAAAAAATGATATGTTTCTCAAAACTACTTGAACACAAAAACCTTTCTTAGAAAATTTACACACTCAAATATATGTCAGAGTGTTAATTGGGAAATAGTACTGGAAATGGTTGTTCAAGCTGTGTGAAAAGTGTTAGCTAAAAACGGCATCCCCCACTTAAAAGTATTTCTTTTATAAGAATTTATAAATTAAAAAAAAGTTCTACATATGAAGGATTATAACTGTGGTTATGGCATCATGGGTCGTGAAGAAAATAATGGTTTGAGTCTTTACTCAGGACTTTTCCAAATCACAGTAAATTTCATTCCATCCTAAGATGATAAGCCAATTCACCTAAGTTTATAGATACCAAAAATGAAGGCATAAAAAGCCTTTGCCTGACCTTAGTCAGCTATTCAAAAAGACAGTATTTCAATGAATGAGTGAAAACCCAAAATCTCTGTAAATTTTCATTAAAACTAATAAAATTTAATAATAAAAAAAATTAAAAAAATTAAAAAAAGACAGTATTTGTGTCCTCTTTGTTCTGTATATTTTTCCTTGATAATGCTTTCTCTTGGTGGGAATATAAAGCATCCTCAAATTTGTATGCAATCTCATGTGTTTCTCTCAACAACATAGATAATGCAATTGAAGGTCAAAGTCAAGAGCAGTGTACTAATGTGTTTCATATGCAATGGCGTTCTTTCCTCCACCACGCAAATAGTCATGAGTTTGATTGTCATTTCAGGTGGCCTCTGCCTATTTCAAAGATTTTCACCTACTGTTAATTGGAGTTATCTGTTTAGCAACATCCATTGAGAAATGGAATTTGCACAAAAGAATTGCCCTGAGAATGGTGATGATGGTGGGTGTGGATCCAGCATGGTAAGAGTTGTGTTTATTACTCCTGGTTTACATTCTGAACATACCATTTCTTGTAGAACAAATAGCCAAAGAAGTAATGCACATCTAGGGAATTATTTTTAACTTGGTATAATTCATGCCTTTTTTGTTTCCTCTGCAAAATGAAAGTGATACCAAAGTGTGCTTGAGTTGTAGGAAGAAAATTGAACCGAAACAACTTTCCTTTCACTGCAGGCTTAATTACAGGGAGAATGGAATGAGTACACATGACTTTCTGACCTTTCAAACACCTTAGGAGTCACAGCTGAGAGTAGCCCTGAACCTCAACAGACAAGAGAGATATAGTCTTCAGAGTATATTTCAGCCATTTCTTATTGTTTGGGCTGATTATATATTCAAGACTTGTGTAAGAGCACCCTTGATCACCATGAAGGATGTTAAGTACCAAAGACAAAGAGATGCCTGACAAAATACAGAAGTAGACAGAAAAAGTCCAGCGGGAACATTGTTCTCTTTAAAATCAACTATCACAAAGGGAAATGATCAATTAAGATATCTTATCCATAAAGTTACCCGTGGTGAACAGTGTTTGCTGGAGCTTCCCGATTAAAACAAGCCTGGACTCAGGAGTGATATTCACTTCCGAAATGGCTTGCCTCCAGAAACTCTATGAACAGTGCTCAGGCCTTTCGTTCATAGAGTCGCTATGAGTCCTCTACGACTCAACGGCACCTAACAGCAACAGCACCCATAAAGTGTGAATGAATTGATCTGGCTTATTCACTCCTACTGAAAAAGGAAGGCTATATATTTTTCACCAGTTGTTTTGATTTTCTCTACATAGGCTACCTTTTGCAAGAACAATGATGTGAGGTCAAGGAAACTAGAGTTAATCCTTTTCATAATGACATTATGCCTTTAAAGATCTAGTCTTTCCTTTCTCATCTTTCTTTGAAAATGAGAAAAATGTACTGCATGCCACGGCACAGTTCATTCTAGCATGCAGCCACATCTGTGTTTATCATTTATGGAATGACTTGTTTTGCTAAAGAGAAAAAAGGAAATTAAGTGACTCAGATGAGACAAATGGTTTCTGTTCATCTGTGTTACTTAAAAATTTCAAAATGTCTATTTGTTTGAGAGCACTTTACCCTTAAAATGTCCCGGTGTTCCTGGCTTCTGGAGGTGTGGTGGAAATATGTTCCTTTGCCTTGACCCTCTGCTGGCTTGTTCGCTCACCTGATGTGGGTAATGTGTGACACAGGGACACGGCATTCCTGTCCATTATGTGACTAAAAGGCTTTTCAATTTAGACCATTTTTCATCACATAGAAGCTTTATCTCTGTCCCAACTTTAATTTATAGCAGGTTTTCAAGTCCTGCCAATAACTTTAAATGGTTTCAGTTTCCTTTGTAGTAAGAATCATTTTCGTTTATTTAGATTAATTTTTAACAAGTTTTTATTTATATCTTTTTCACATGTAGAAAATAGTCAACTTATCTGAGGTCTCAACTCATAGTGTGGAATAGTAATTTTAGATATCTTTTAAATGTTATTAGAGGATTCCACCAGTGATTCTTGATGGAAAAATGTGCTTCTGTACTTTAGTGTGATTTTGAAAGTTTATAAATACGGCTTAAAGTCAGACAACCTTAGGTATATTATATGAGTCCCAGGTGATTCGATGGCACGTAACAACAACAACATATTCTTTTTAAAGGAGAATTATTTTATGCATAATAGAAGTTGTTGTGTACCGTAGAGTTGGACTGGAGCCATAGCTGACCATTTACAGAGTAAATGGTACTTTCTAAAAGAGTACTGCAATATTGGCGTGATGTTAGATTTATACCACACAGCATCTTGAGGTTTGGTTATAATTTCCATAGTTTTCCATTTTCTGAGCATGATTGTTATGAGAAGACACATCTCTCAGAACTGCACGCCTACATGCGTGCCTGGGTTTCTACAAAAACTTTGGCAATATTTGGAGTATTAAAAAAATGCCCCAACTCACAGACCACATCCTTTAAAGTAACACAGAGCTGGTTAACCCAGCAAGCGCAGCTCCGTACTGAAGGCTCTCTCCTTTCAGGCTCACGCTGGGTTTCATGAGCAGCACGGCCTTCCTGTCTATGTGGCTCAGCAACACCTCTACCGCCGCCATGGTGATGCCCATCGTAGAGGCGGTGGCACAGCAGATCATCAAAGCGGAGGCCGAGGTCGAGGCCACTCAGATGACTTACTTCAATGGCGTGATCAACCATGGACTGGAAACCGATGGTATCGTGTACAGAGAGAGATGACCACAGTGGGATCTAGTCATGTGGGCCCTAGGAACAAACACAGAAATCCTTGGCTAATTTCTACATGAGCATCCATGAAGTGATTTCATATCTTTTTCTCTCCGTTTTCTAGTATTTATGTAAGAAAAGTATGCTGCATAAGTATTTCCCTTTTAATTAATGGTTGAATTTACATACTCTGGAAACAAGAGAAAAGATGATTTTATCATCCTCTACCCCTCTAATGAAATTCTCAGGCCTTTATCGGTAGATTTTTGGGTTATTTTTCCCATCCTGGAATGACCCCTGTGCCTAATATTGGCCATCTTTAATGCCTTCGTTGTATTTGGACGGCATTCCAGATTTCTACTGTGGTAACTTCTGGCTCTGCAGCACTGCTCTCATGCATTAGTGGCATTGTAGGCTGCATTTATAAACTGTGTTGTTAAAATGAATGTGAATGTTGTTGTTCTTACGTGCCGTCGAGCTGTTTGCGACTCATAGCGACCCTATGTACAACAGCCCTAAACCGTGCTCTATCCTGTGCCAATCGCATTGTCTCTGACATACCCATCCCGAGTACCCCAATCAGTCCACCTCATAGAGGGTCTTCCCCTCCTGCGCTGTCCCTCTACTCTGCCCAGCATGATGTCCCTCTCTACAGACCTGTCTCTCCTTACAACATGTCCAAAGTATGTCAGACGAAGCCCCAGAATCCTTGCCTCCAAGGAGCAGCCTGGTTTAATCCTCTCTAAGGAATCTGTTTGTTTTCTTGGCAGTCCATGGTACGTTCAATACTCTTCTCCTGCACCACAGCTCAAATGTGTCAATTCTTCTATCCTCCCTGAATTTATTTTCATCTTCTGGTACTGCTTACACACACACACACACACACGCAGAGATGACCTCTGATTGAAATAATTTTCCTTGTATTTAATGTTTTGCAGAAAGTGTTACTGGACAGGAAACAAATGAAAAGACAGAGAAAACAAAACCAGTTCCAGGGTAAAGAATATTGACATTTTGATTAGGATTTTCCAAATTGCAATTTGACAAAATTATAAACTGGGTCCATTCATTTTTCAGATACTGTACTGATGCAGGGAAAAATTCAAGCAAGCTGGAATTGGAAAAGGTACATTGAATTTTGTTCTTTCTAAATCATTGTACATGAAATCGTATGAGAGATGAAGTTAGATCGGTGTGCAGTTTAAAGTCATGTTACTCTGCTTTCTTGTCCATCAATTTTATTTTTTTTTCTAAGTCAAAATGGGATTTTTTTAAAGTCTTTAAGGATAAACTAAAAAAATATTGTGATAAGAATTCTTTTAGGCTCTGAAAATTAGTCCTACAATTTTCATCTCCTGCTCAGGTTTAAGTAGTGGCAGTTAGCATCTCTGGCTTAAAGAATCACAATTCTTTAAGATGGTGTTTGATTTTCTTGTTAAAAGCGTTGCCGGCCAAAGAGCCCCCTTTTCCTTGGGAGCCTCTCCATTTCTTCCAGGTTATGAACTTGGAGAGACTCCCCTTTGCGTTGTTACACATACAGTCATCTTAAGTGTTGCTTTTGCTACTGGGGGGTTAAAATCACTTCAAGTCCTTATAAGTTTCTGTGATCAAATGTAGGCTGGGAAATTATTTCAGTAGTTCTTCTGGACAGTAAAAGAAAGAAACCAGACCTTTGCAGACTGTCTCATAAAATCCATGTCCTCCATATAAATCAATATATTTGAAAACACTAGATTGCACTGAGGCCGACATATCTAGAGACCACTACAAAAAATAATCCCATGTGGCACCATGGTAACCAAGGCATTACAAACAGGCAAGTGGGACATGTGTTTCTTCCTTAGTGTATAAGGCGTTATCATACAACACAAAAGAGAAGAAGAAAAGAACCAGAAAACAACAACACAACCACTCTATTGTTTACAGAAATCTTACAGGGAAGAGCACTTTATAGGTAAGGAGAAAACAAACACAGAGGAATTTTTTTACCATTAGCTGCAAGTATGCATTAAGCGGTTTTAAGAACAAGACTTGCATACATTGTTATGAAAGTATCATTCTCTTTAGAAATGAGAAGAAGTAATTCTTAAAAAATATAGTCAACAGTTTGTCAGGTATAAAACAAAGAGAACATTAAAAAAAATTCTCATTATTGTATATTTGGAACCAATTGATAGCTGACCCTCCAGTGGGTTTTCAGAGACTGTAAATCACTTGTGAGGAGTTTGCTCATCTTTCTTCTCTGACGCAACTGGGGGAATTTAAACTGCCAAAGAGGTGCCACTCTTGGGTCAGCTATGCCTCTCCCTAAGAACTAGCAGAGCTGTAGAGAGCACATTGGAAACGATCTTTTATATGTGTTTTGAAATCGGCAGGTCTAAATAGAAGGAGTTTAGCGACACTCAGAGACTTCCCTGTGATTGTCTTTGGAAATTCTGTCTCCTGGCATAATGCATAAATTTGATTCAAGACTCTCCAAATTGACTTAGTATCCAGTTTTACCTTAGGATGGGTATTGTTGTTGGTGTTGTATGTCATCAGGTCAGAAACGACTTGTAGCTGCCCCTCCAGTGGGTTTTAGAGGCAGTAAACGGCACAGGAGGAGATTGCGCATCCTTCTCCCACAGAGCAGCTGATGGATTTGAATCGCATGTCTTTGGGAATGCAGTGCAGCTTCCAGCCACTAAGCCGCCAGAGCCTCCTTAGGATGGATAAAGGGATCTCTTGATGCAAAGGTCTAGACCCGGTAAGCAACGAGGAGTCTTGGGAGAAGATGGGCTTAGACTAATAAGTGTGACATAAACAGCATAACAAAGGCATGGACAGAGCCCACACCTTTCAAAAGAAGCAGCCACCAGCTTACTCTGGGTGTCTTACAGAGGCCATCTGCAGTAAGGCCATGTGAATCTGGAAGGATGAGAGAGCGCACCAGCAGAGAAGGACAGGTGTCATGAGTGAAGGTCACATGCACTTTGTGCCTTTGTATTAGCATCCACCAAATTCCATTGTCTGAGCTGAGGGTGGAGGCTGGATAAATATTTAATGATATTCATAACTGAGTTAATATATGAAGAATTGATAAAGATGTCAGATAAGGGACTTATATCTAGACATTTTAAAATACTTGAGCACCACAAGAAGATAAAGGTGAACAATCCAATTGAAAAATGGGCACAGGATATGAACAGACACTTCACCAAGGAAGACATTCAGATGGCCAA